CTTTTTCTTTTCTTTTTCTTTTCTTTTTTTTTTTTTTTTTTAAGTTTAAGTTGAATAAATAAAATCACAGAATCACAGAATTTTGAGGCTGGAATGGGTCTCCAGAGATCAAGTTCAATCCCCCTGAAGAGAGGTTGGCGATGTCCCTTTGACTCCCACACTTAAGATATTTGTAAACATTAATAAAATCACCTCTCAGTATTCTTTTCTCAAGGCTGAACAGACCAAGGTCACCAGTCTTTCCTTATAGGGGAGATGCTCCAAGCCCTTTGTTGTCTGTGTGGCCATCTGCTGGACTCTCTCCAGGAGATCCTTGTCTTTTGTATCACAGTGCCCAGAACTGGATGCAGCACTCCAGGTGAGGCCTGACCAGGGCAGGGTAGAGAGGGAGACCCCTTGACCTGTTGGCCATGCTCCTTTTAATGCACCCCAGGATCCCACTGCTATGGATATAGATATGGAAATAGATCTCCCTATGAAGTTGTGTCATTCACATACCTAGACTGTACCATGACTCAAATAGTGTGACTGTTAGAACAATGCTCCCTCTCTTGGCATCATTCTGATTTCTGAGAGCTATAGCTTTCATCAATTGCCGAGAGAGTTTTTACTGATTAGAAATGAAATAGAAGTTTTATTCTTTTCTTTTAGCTTTCCATTGGGTGAGAATGTTTAGTTGAAGTTGAGAACTCTTTTGTTTGTGCCTGCTCCATAACAAAGACCAAAAAAAAAAAAAAAAAAAGCAAGTCTTTCACCTAAACAGCACCTGCAATACTCAGAACTGGAAAGTTTTGCAGTTAATTGGAAACTACGTTAGCAATGTTGAAATACTCATTTTGTAAAGCAGCTGATATCATTGCGTGATAATGTACGTATTCATGTATTCCCAACATTCTCTGATTTGCTTGGTAATATACATATGTTTGTTGTAAGTCACTTATGGGTCTGTCAGTTAAATTAGTAGAAAAATACCAAAGTGAGTAAATAAACTACCTGCATTTATATTCAATCAAATGAGTTGTGTAACAGGCATTATGATTTTTTAAAGAGTGAATAACACCAAACCAATCTCAGTTTGTACTGCAGTAGTATTGCAGGTATTGGGGGCGTTGGGAGCTAGAGAGTGGAGGACAGGAAGAGGAAGTGGAAGTGGAGGGGAAAAACAAAGTTAATGCTATGTATCTCAATTTTAGATATGCCTTTGGCAGTGTTTTATAGGATGTTCTAGAAAAGCCTGCGGAAGATAAGCTGAAGTGGCACTTTGAAGGGCTGTGTGAAAAGCTGCTTCAAAAAGTATGCTTTCACAGTAGATCACAGGAGTTCTATGTTAAATGAAAGAATACATTGATAGTAGCTACTTTTCATTCTGGTAAGATTTTGTAACTATGCCATATTTTTATTTTGGCATATGATGTATTAATGTATATTATATAGAAATGTTTTCATATTCAATGCCATCAAACATGACAGAAATAGCTTTAAGTAATTTATTTTGATGAATGAAAGTGGACTAATAGGAGATCAGAAGAAAACAGTAATTTTAAACCTAGGCCATAATTTACCAGGCAAAATCTGAATTAAGTAGAATTTTTTGGAATAAAACAAATATGTTTGGTTGAAGCTTTTTTCCTGCCTTCTTTGGAGCAGGCCACGTGCTTAAACTGCAGCGTGGAAAACTATCAGGGAAAGTGTTCCAGGGATGAGAATAGCAATGTAGCAAAAATGATGAAACAGGCAGTTGGAGAGGGTGGTAGATTCTGTCCCCCGCAGTTTAAAAGACAAGTGGGAGTTATAACTGTCAGGGATAACAGAAGTTCTTATTTTGCTTGAGCAAGAGGATGATACTTTGAGAAATATGTGATCTTACAGTTGACAATTTTTATTCCTGAGGTCCTGTCCTTAGTTTTCCTATCTATAAAACTTAACAGCTTGAGACTAATGCAATGTTTTAGTAACCAGCTGTAGTATGGTACAATGCTATTTGTTATTCCCTTTTTTTACATTTCATTTTAAATCCAAATATATATGCATGCATATGTGTGTATATATTATTTTTTTAATAGAACATAAATATTGTACAAAAAGTATATATTCACACTGTTTTGGATATTTTTTTGAAAACCACAACTTAGATAGTTCAAGTAATTTAGCAATAAGTATTTAAGTTAATAGATATTGAAATACCTTAAGTGATAATTTTATACTTAAATTCATAAAACAGAAGTAATTTTTAATACACAATCATGGTTTTAGTTTATTCATTAAGGATGCTTTTCTCGCATCTGATTTCCACCTCTCATCTCTGCACCCTGTGACAGGGAATGTCTAATATTTCCTTTTTGTCAACATTAATAAAACACAGTTAGAAAAGAAGATCCCTGTGGAATTATAAGGATAAATGTATCATACCTGATTTAGTCATGCCATACTGATAGTACATTTCTATCATTTCTGATAAAAATAAATGTATCCTACCTGATTTAGTCATCCAGTACTGATTGTGGTCACCTTTCATATACTCTCAGTTTTGGAGACTGTTCAGTCTGTTAGTAGGCTTTGTGATTCAGGATTGATTCTGACGATTACAATCACTCCTACAGAACTATGTGAGGCCTCTGAGAAGGAAGGAAACCACTCATTTCTTTAATAGCAAAGAATTAGTTGTTGACTTTCCATAGATTTTTGTAAGCAAATCTCTCTACATCAGATTTTTATAACAGCAAAATCTTAGAATGCCATTTTGGTAAAAGATCAATATTTACTTTTTTATAATCAGTTACCTATTTTTAGAAGATAAGCCTTTTGTGGCAATAATCTTTTCCCCTTTTTTTTAGGTTATTCTGTAAACATGATAATCAGTATGTGTTTCTCCAGATACTGTTTTGCACCATGTGTCCTTTTAGAGTAAATCTTTTCAGTTCTGCTGTTAAATAAGTGGAATCAGATTCAAAAGAACTTAATTTTTGAGTGCAAACAACACTGAACATGCTAGAATTCTTAATGTGTAGAAGTCAAATGCTACGGTGCCTCTGGCAAATGAAGGTTTCTTAATTCCTTGAATTTTCTTAATCTGAAGAAGACTGATAGATAAATCATATTTACTAATATGTAAGAGAACGTAACAAGTGATTAAGGGAGGGGGAAAAAAAGTTATCTACCACAAGTTCACTCATAATTTCAAGTGTTTACTCTGTGGGTAAAAAAAAGAAAAAAAGTTTTCTTAGTCCTACCCTTCCCTTTGTTTTGTTTACTGTGAGTTTGATCAAATGCTGGGGTAGGAGTTCTGGAGTTAGCCCAAATCCAATTGGATGCAGTATTGAGAACCTGCTTTAGCTGCCTCTGCTTTGTGCCAGAATGTTGGACTTGATGATCTCCAGAGCTTACTTCACACCTTAACTATGTTATAATTCTGTGAAACAGATACTGCTACCATTATAATATCATAGTGTTGGGGAAAAAAAGTTTGCTGCTGAGGTGAAAAAGTTGGTAGCAATATTACTATTCCAATACTATTAGAGCACTTATAGAATAGAATAGGCTACATTAAAGAAGATGAAACTTGAAGAATATTAACAGGAACCCTGGGTACATACTAGGATATGTAGTATTTGAGACAGATAGCCTTGCAGTCATTTCAGTTGATTAGAGAAACTCTTCGTTTTGTTCTGACTCTTCTATCTCTCTTCGTGTTTTGATTTCACAAGAGTATTTTCCCTTTTCCACACAAGATGTTTAACAACCTCAGAAGAACTGTTCGAACCTGACTTTCTAGTTTCAAATTGCTGATGGAGCTATGGCAGTATGATCTTTGGTAGTTTCCTTACTCTTCCATTAGTTGTGCAAAATCTTGAACGACAGAATGTAGATCCATTCCTAGTGCTTTGGCATTAAGTAGTTAGAATGTTGTTTTCTGTATCCTGTTGAGTTCTGGGGTGAAGTTCAAAAATGTATGTAGTGTTTTCCTAGAGAAATGAATGTATATATATTTGCTGCTTTTTCCTTCACTATTGCACAGATACTTAATTTGAATCTATTTTGAAAACAAACACAAATGTTAAAAGAAGAGTTAGAAGAAGTTTCCATTCCACTTTTATTCCTTTCCATGCTGTTTGATTTGTTCCTGTATGGAACAGGAAAAGAAGTGAAGCTCTCTTTGTTTTGATCAGAATACTGAAGAACAGATAATACAGCATACCACAGAGTCCTCCAAGGAACTAGTCAGTTCACGTATAATTGCTTACAGTCATTAATATAGACTCATTAAGATTAAAAAAAAAAATTAATGCTTTATTACATACATATATACACACACAGTAGTTCTCATGTTTGGTAGTTCAACTAATTGTTGTTGTTCTATGGCTTTTTCCAAGTACAAAATAAAGTTTTAGTTGCAATAAAAATACAAACATATTTTCATTTTATTTTATAGAATCATAGAATGGGTTGAAAAGGACCATAATGATCATCTAGTTTCAACCCCCCTGTCACAGACAGGGTTGCCAAACACTAAATCAGGCTGCCCAGAGCCACATTCAGCCTGGTCTTGATTTTTGTTTGTTGTCTGTTTTTTGTTGTTGTTGTTTTTAAGTAGTAGTTATTATTTGAGCAATTTAAGGACCAGACTGTGTTCAAACACAACTCAAGAGCTTCAGAAAGAAAAATACAACTCAAAAATAAAGTTCTTGATCCAATGATTTTATAAACAGCCAAAGAATAGGAAGTGGAGGTGAATACTATTTTCTCAATGTTTGGTGAATGATTGTTTTATATTTTGCATTTTGTCAGTAGCCAATAATATTATAAGAAAGTTCTTTCCATTTCTATTTTATGTAATTCTATTTAAAGTCACTCCGTGGATTTAGTAATTTCATTGTAAGCAGATGCTGGAAAGAAAAATGTATAAACAAGATTAGTGACGTGGGCATATCCATTTGTGTTTTTAGACTAGGCTTTTAAGTAACACTTAAGTTACACTTTTTAATTACTTTTTTTTATTCCAGAGAGCACAATCAGATGAATTAGAAAAAATCGAAAAGCACAGCAAGGCATCTAAGGAAAAAGAAAATGCTAAGTCTTTGGATAAACCAGAACAGTAAGAACATACTTACAAAATAATATGGTTTTATTCACTTCAGAAAAAATTGCATGCTATTGTAAACTTACTATAAATTATATAAAAGAAAAATAAATCGAAACAAACTCTGAAACCTGTGATTTCTTTCTCCATTAATTTCTACAGGTTCCTCTATGAACTCTCACTAATTCCCAACTTTTCAGAGCGTGTATTTTGCATCTTGTTTCAGTCAACATTTTCAGAAAGCATTTGTTCAATCCATCGCAAACTTGAATTATTACAGAAACTCTGTGAGGTAGGTTGTGTTCCATAAAGACTTAGAGCTATATTTTTGATATTTAATCTTGTTAAGTTGTACTCATATTTCAAAATTTTTTTCTTTATTTACTCCAAGTACTCATTACATTTGAAGGATAGCAGTCTTTCAGAATAGAACATTTTATAATTGTAATTCAACATCAAAGCAAATTTTAAGATTAGCTTTTGGGTCTGAACTATATCATATTGTTGCCATAAATGCATATCAATGATGGGAAGAGAATGCTCCTTTTCTGTTTGTCAAAGCAAAATCTTTCCTCTTTATAATAACTTCGTAATTCATTTCCAAATGAATATAGGTTCCATTCACCTTATATTTGCTTGGTTTTTGGAAGTGTGCAGCTCAATAATATCAATGATAAAATGAGTGAGAGAAGGCAATGGTATCTCTAGCTGGAAGAGATTCCTGTAATTTGGTAGTCCCATGGAGGAGGCTGGGGGGGGGAGGGGAAGCACCACAAGCAGAACAACATAGCTTTAACATGCGAGTTTTGTCAGTACTTTCATAACTATTTTTAATATTTTAACGCTTTAAGTTCTGTTTGTTTTCAAATAGGCGTTTTAGGGGTTTGTTGCAAAACCCTCTTCTAAATTAAATATATAATTCACACCAGCACCATTTAAGGAAATACTGTTTCCTTTTTCCTAGAAGATCACCTCTTATAATAATGCTGTTTTCTATATATAAAAATCATATTCATAAATCATATTCATGTTATATATAATCTATAGATATTATATTTAAATAGTAAATACGTATTATATTAAATTAATATCAGTTTTGCAGATAAGATTTTCCATTCACAACCCATTAATAATATTCTACACCTTCGTGTACATCTGTTTCTCTTTTTCTCTTTTGTAGACACTGAAAAATGGGTCAGGAGTTATGCAGGTCTTAGGTTTGGTTCTTGCTTTTGGAAATTACATGAATGGTGGAAATAGAACACGAGGACAGGCTGATGGGTTTGGACTAGATATCCTGCCAAAACTGAAAGATGTCAAGAGCAGCGTAAGTTGATTTGAGATTTCCTGTTGGCCTTAAAATATTAAAATATTTCCACAAATCACTCTTCTTTCATTTTTAAATGAACAGTGTGTAATCTAGAAAGACATATCAAAAGAAATTCTTAATTCTTAAGTCTTTAAATTGGCCCAAAATTTGCCTAGTGAATTATTCAGGAGCTTAGAGCATCTCCCTTATGAGGAAAGACTACAGGATGTGGGACTGTTGATCTTGGAGATTCTTATAAAGGGTGGGTGTTAAGTGGGTGGGGCCAGGCTCCTCAAGTGCCCATAAAAAGGGGACATGGGCACAAACTAGAACGCGAGAAGTTCTATACAAAAATGATGAGAAAATTCTTTACTGTGAAGGTTACAGAGTACTAGAATAGACTGCCCAAAGAAGTTGTGGAGTCTCCTCTGGAGATACTCAATATCCTTTACAACCTACTCTAGAGAACCTTTTTCAGCAGAGTTTCAACTGGAGTTTCAGCACCTACAATTCTATGATTCCGTGATTATCAAGTTCTGCTCTTCAGGAAGAAAAAGAAGAGCTTGTTTCCCTAAATACACATGCTTTAACTGTTGTATTAGATAACGTGAGCAAGCTAGCTTTATCATGTCAACTACTTTCTTAGAAAGGAACTCCATTCTGGTGTGGCTTACTGCAGGAACAGACAAGGGAGCAATGATGTGAATGATGCTTTAGTACAGCACATCTAAGGCAGCTTACTTTAGTAATACCTTATGATTTTATTATGAACTCTAGATAGATCACCAGTTTCAGAATTAGTTGAATTGTTAGGCACATTAAATTTGATTTGGTGACCCAAATATTGTGACCACTAACCTTCCAATTTCAAAATACATTTTAAGTTCACTTGCTGCTGTTCAGTCGGGAAAGTTCTTATAAAATATTATTCCACCTGAAAACATAATTTTATCTGAAGTCCTCTCCAAGTCAAAGATTTCTTGTTGAAGTTCCATTACAGATGGGAATTAAGAAGAAAGTAGTTTCCTCAACAAATCCAAAAATTATTTTAGAAAAGTAACTGTTTGTTTATTTAACATTCAGTTAGATGAGCAAAAAGTTCTGAATGTTATCCAAGTAAGCTGTATACACCAGTATAGTTTCTCTTTTCCCTTGTTCAGAAGTTTCAAATGCAAAGATTCAGTTTACAATCAACTACATTTCTAAAAGCAGGAATGGTTTATGCAAATGTTACAAAATATTTTTCTGTTACTGTTTTTAATGATTGTTTAATAGGTTTTTTTGCTGTCTTTCTTGTTTGTGTTTTAAGTGAAATCTTTCCCCTTCCCCTCTTTCTCTCCCTCCTTCCCTCCCCCGCCTAAAATAGAGAACCACAAAAAATACTCTATGTGTGACTCTAAAAGGGACTTGAATGAACATTTCCCAAGGGAGTCTTAATACATATATACATATGTCTTAATACATATATACAATAATAATACAACAACTATTTTGTCTTCTACACAGGACAACAGCAGAAGTCTTCTATCTTATATTGTCTCGTACTATTTGCGTAATTTTGATGAGGTGAGTGAGGATAGATTTTGCTTTTTTTAAACTCAAGTTCAAGAATCAGCTTACTAAAATTGCATTTATGCTGCCTAAGATAAGAAAATGCACACATATTTTTGTGTTACATTTTATTAAATAAAAATGTAGTGAGCACTATGTAACTGCATATTTGTGTTGTTGTCAGGATGCTGGAAAAGAGCAATGTATCTTTCCTCTTCCCGAGCCACAGGATCTCTTTCAGGCTTCACAGCTGAAGTTCGAAGACTTTCAAAAGGATCTCCGCAAAATGAAGAAAGATTTGCGAGGTACTGAAGTTAGATTAAGTGCTAATTATATGTTTTCAATGTATATCTGAGATTACTTTTTTCTATCACTTTGAGAAATTCTATGGCAATATAAAAGTAGTGTATACTTTGATTCCTCAGGTGGGCTTTTGTTTCCTTGATTTGTTTGGTTTTTTTTCTTTTGATGACCATTATTTTATCAACTTCATTATAATAATTCATTATTTTCTGCAACCTCAAAGAAGTTGCTAAAATAAACAGCATCAAACCAATTAGGTAAAATCTTATGTCTCAAAACTAGAACCAAAAAATCACTGTTATGTGTGCACATGTGTGAACCGACCGTAAGAAAAAAAATGTCAAAGCATTGGACCATAAAGATGACAAAAATATTTTAGAATTAGGTCCAAAGTGCTGTTAAAGACATATGCAAAGAAAGTATTTTTTCTCGTGTTTGTAGAATGACATTTTTTAAAAATCAACTTCTTAAAGTACATTAAAGTACATTTGCTAGAGTTCTTTAAAGAACACATATAGCGCTTTTTAAAATAGCACTGAGGACTGAGCACTAAGTTAAATAAGATAAAGAGTTTGAAAATATTAGCCAGCAACATACACAACATTCAATATTTTTGATAAAAGTCTCCATCAGACTAGGCAAGTATATGCCATTATGCTAAACTGTGGAAAGATGGATGCAGATCAAACAGTGAAAAGATCTTTATTGACTGTTTTGAATGGTTTTGAATGCCAGGAGACTAGAGAGCATGGAACGGTTTAGTAAATCATTAGTCCCTGAATAACCTACAATGGAAGGGTCTGTATTAAAACAAAAACCTTGTACTGCTACAGAACAAAATCTGACCTTCTCTTCTTGCCTTTATCAAACTTTCAATTTGGATGTTTTCTTTAAAAATGTATTTTAAATATTTAGAAGTAAAATTTAAAGTTATTTCAAGATCACTTACTGTGATACTGAAGAGCAAACTGAAGCAGCATCCAGCTGCTGCCCTGAAGAATCCCACAGTTCAGCCATAAGAAAAATTATTTCTATAGCTCTTGCAACTTTCAAATTATACGAGGGGCAAACTCTGAGCTTCCAAACAGAGGAGAAAGATGCTTAGCTTTGATTTAGGGAAGGTACTTGAATTCAGGCACATATTTAAGAACTTCTAGGGATAAAGACGTTATCCTTCACAAGTTCACCAAAAGTATAATTATATGGACAAGGGTTTAAACATTTTTAGATCAAGGTGGAAATTTGCACACAGACATAAATCTCTTGTGGAATAAATCTACACTGTGTAGTGATCAAAGACAGCTTTCTGTAAAAATGGAAATTACACGCTTCACTCTGCCACAAGACTTCAGGCAAATTCTTTCTGTGCTTCCAGACCTAGCCCTTAGGCTTGAATCTCCATTGTCATTCTGTTCGCTAGTTAATGAAACTGAAGAATAGATGCAGACATCATGACTCCCTGCTCCCTTTAGGAAAAGCGTTTTTAGGAAATAGCTTTGGCCCTCTTCTGCATCCTATTCTGGATATGAAGTAAAAATCTTACCACTTTCTTATCATCTCTGAGTGATGCAAAATGCTTTTTGCTGTCTCTTTTTCAAAGAAGTGTGTCACCTCGAATTAAAAATTATTTGCTTTAAAAAAAGCTCTGATTATAAAAGGATTCACTAAAACTTCTGCATATTCCAATTGCTTAGTTGTAATAGGCTCAGAGAGACAGCACAGACAAATTAAATGCTGGTCTTTTTAAAATAATGCACATTTTAGTTGAATGGCTAAAATGTCTTCAAACTTTTCCTTTTTCATTTATTTCAAGCACACTGCCAGTTTTGCTAATGTGTACCTGGAAGTTTACTACTTGAGGAACTAGTGTCTTATTAAATGACTGAGAGAGCTTAAGATACTGAACAAATTACGACAGAATCCTAAATATGATCCTCTCTTTTTGAAGCCATTGAAAATAAAATGAGTATTGAGTATTTCTGAGAAAGACTGATTGTCACCAAACTTAGAGAGGGAAATAGATGCGTATGACTGTATTCCAGTTCTACAGTTAGATGTGGGCTGTAGCTGTGACCCTATTTTTGTCTGTGTTTAGGAAGAATATTTTATGAGAGGATTTCACATTTTCTTGTTCTTTTTGGTTGTTTGCATGCTTTTCTTTTTGTTTTGTATTTAATCACTGAAAGTATGCATATAACATTACTGGCACTATCACCAGTTTAAGAGTATGTTAGTTTCAAATGCCCTGCAAACTGTGTGCAGTGAGATCACACTTAGTAAAAATGGGGGGAAGGCAGTCCCAGAAGGATCTCTTCATAAAATTACAAATAAGTACAACAACAAAAATAAAGCAGCACCACAAGCTAGAGGAAAGTTATTATGAAAAATTGCTATGTAACAGTAATTAAATAGTTCAGTCTATAAATGCTATATTATTCTATATAGATATGTCAGTAACATACATAGTGGCATATAGATGTAAATCATCTTTATAATTCTGCAAAAATCTGTCTTTGTCATGCTGTTTCCAGGTTCAGAGCTAGGGCTTATGATTGTATTAAAGGAGTTATGCTGATTTTCTTAAGAAGAAAAAGAATTTGATGTTCAAAATTTTTTGACTGTGGAAGCTCTTGTTCATGAAAATTTAAAATGGACACTGTATGCCTTTCAATTTGTAAAATCTCCACAGAGATTTCAAATCAAACTGGAAGTCCAGAAGACTTTCAGAAGGCACAAGGTGTACCTGTTCCAAGATAAATAATTCAGAAATTTACATTTCAGCTAAGCTGTAAGTCATCTAAAATAGTGTAGAAGTTACTCTAATCATACAACATCACACTTGCAGATTGTTCAGACCTTGTTGCTGATTTTAGGTAAAAAAAAAAAAAAAAAAAAGGTAACCGGTAACCGTGGGTAACACCCCACAGTTAAAGTTAATATGGTAGATTACTGTAAAGAAATAGACCGAAGAACAGGTAAAGCTTTTCATTCACAAACCAAGTGAGTTTGGCTCCATCTGTTGCCCCCAGATTTCACAGCTCTCCAGGATTCTTACTTTAGCCTTCTTAACTTCAGTGACATATAGTTTGTTAAGCAACTTGATCTGCTTTTGATCTCTCCTGGCTGTCAGCAATGTTCCTTGATGCAGTCATGCCAAGCAATGACTCTTTTCTTATGTCATTCCAGGGACGAAACTTTAGCACTTGTCACATGACTTAAATCAACTCACCACATAAAGGAAAGTTGGGCATCCAGGGTCACAAGAATGTTGCATGACTCTTACTGATTAGGACCTCTGTTGTATATTCAGTACTAGTATACAGATGCACAGTTGTGATTCAGCAAAATACTGGATTTGTGGCCCATAAAGTTCTTCAGAACATAATTTTGTTTAGGAAAGAACTAGGACATTAGAATGGCAGTGAGAGTTATTCATGAAGCACTTACAATAAGTTAGGACTGTTTAGAAGCTGTTCTTTGGCTGCTTTTTAGTATTTTAGCTTTACATACAATAGTTTATTCTTGCAAATCATTATCCAATTCATCAATTGTCATTTATTGCAAAACTTTTACTGAAACTCAGCTAAAATGCAATTAGCAACAATATCAGGCAGAAAATAAATCTGACTAGTAGAATGTTGAAAAGAACAATAACACCATATAATGCTATGAAATTGAGCCAGTCAGTGCTTATTGACTGAAAACTAATTACGAGTAATATTTTCATAATTTAGGTATTAGTTTTGTAGCTTCTGTTTTCTACCGTAAGTGCTAACAAGACATTCAAAAGTCTCCATCCATAAGAAGGTAGGCAGTACGGCTTGCTATTTCTCTTTGGTTTGAAATAAACGTGACTGAAAGTGTTTATAAATTGTTAAGCAGATACAGAGCACTTTATATTTTAACGAGTGTCTTCCAAGAAGGGTCCCACAATAATTGGGAAAAGTACATGTTCCCTATTTTTTCAATACTACTTACTGCGACCTGAAATGATCTATTCAGCTCAACTGTGTAGCAATAGAAGTCACAAATCTAATACCTGCTGTGGCAATCAGAGAAATGAAAGTTCCATTTTGTGCAGCAGAAAGACTTGTAACTGAATTTGGGGCATTGTCAAGATGGGACTGAGAGATATAAGGTAGTAGATATGCTTTGGTTACTTACCATTTTTTGTTCACATAATAACCTATTAAACATTTAGATGTTGACAGTTGTGTTGACCATGGATTACGTTGTAAAATGAGATTGCATCCACTGATGCGCTAATCTTCCATTAATGCTTGCAAGCTATATCCTTCTGTTATCTTTTTAATTTACCTTTACAGAAGCAGTTATTGTCTTAGCTAAATTAAATCTTTACTTTTGTCTACTCATTAGCGGTCTGCATCCAAAAATTCTAGCTGTTTGTTCAGCTATTACTGAAGGGGTTAATTGTGGCAGCTACGCAGCATGCAGACTCCTAAACCTAAACCAGATGTAAACTAAAGCCAGGCTTTCAGTCAATCTGTGAGTCATATTTTACTGTCCTTAAAACTCCAAACAAGGAGCTGTCTATGGGATCCCTTGAAGACTCAGCAGTTCTTAGTGTCTTTACAATTAAAAAAAAAAAAAAAAAAAAAAGCTGTTTCTGTACTTGTGGCTGAATTCATCTATTTCTTTTGTTGAGGCCAGTGTTCTCCTTTGATAAAGTCTAAACTGTCTTTTAAAGTCACGGGTTGCAGCTGTAAAACAAAAAAAAAAAATTAAGAAATCACTGAGGAAGTTGTGAAAATAGCGGTTATGCTATTATATACTTTTCAGATAAGTTGGATTCCAGTGAATGTCCTGTGGGACTCTGTGTACTCACAACCCCTGAAAATCAGGGACACAGTTTCAAAACATCCTTAAAAATCAATAGTCTCTTAAGTCTTAGCACTGCTTGTTCTCTCAAGTATCGTAAACTGTCCTGTCTTAAAAATCCATCTGAATTCTGTAGGACTTTTATAGGTAAATATGTGATCTCAGGTGTGGTTAGCCCGAATACCTGGACAAACATCAGTTCATTTTTTGAATGTTGCTTGTATGTTAATAACTGGTTGAGAAAGAGATATTTCTGCCTACACCAACCTCTGCTTAGTATTTGAAGTCTTCAGACTGTATAAATAAGGTAAATGCATGTAGAGTGGGTAGCCAAGAGAACTGAAACCTTTGCTGTATAAAGAAATATATTTTTGTTACTGTTTGGGCAATGCCAGTTCTTGTGATAATTTTTTACTTAGTGCTTGGCTTTTATGCCTGTCTACATGATTCTTATATGCCATTCCATTCTTGCATTATATTAAAATTTAAAATCTGCTTTAATTAAATGGAACTATGTATACTAGCACTGTCTTTCTGTTGCTTACATATCTCCTAGGGTGAAAAATAACAGAAGTTGTGAGAACAGAGATGGTAATAGAGCAAGTTTTGACTGAACTTGATAGAACTCAAAAGACAGATAAGCATTTGTTTCAGACAAAACTTCTGTGAACTTACTGCAGCAAATCTACCTTGCCAGCCTAGTCCTTTGATATCTGGGGTGCTTAGGTGATCTGCTTTGTTGGAGTGATATATGTTTATCTGTAACGCTGGGGGAGGGGGAATAGATATGGAATACTCTATCATTTTCACATTTTTTATGCATGTTTCACGTCCACATTGCTTAGAAGTTATTAAATATACTTCTGACATATTTATTTAGTATCGTATTCCTGCACTTGGGCAGAAATGCTGGTAACTGTCCAGCATTTTACGTTCCTTTCATATGATGAGCACTTTAAAATTCCTTTAGTTACAGTTGAGGAATAACAATACTTGATCCAAGTAAAGGGATTTTATACTCTGGTGACAAATTGCAAGACGTGATAAATGAGTACTCTAACAAACAGGTTGTGCAGGGAGACTGCGATTCCAAACTTGGTGCTCTGGAAAACAAACTTAAAGCTTACAGGACTGTTAATTCTTTAATAAGGAAAGCATCCAGTTGAGTTAGTTTTGAACACAAGCTGTCTCAGAGTTGGCAGATTATGGGATGGGTATTAGTATTTTAACAGCCATAGCATTTCCTCCACTTTTTTTAATTTTAATCAGATATTACATACGGTATCTTCCTACAAAGCAAGAACAAGCTTTTTCTTCTTTAAGTCACTTACACATTATTTGCAATCCAAGAATAGAAACAAACCTGAACTGCTGCTCTTCCAAACATCACTGATTTTTTTTTAGTCCTTTCATGTAGAAATAAATAAAAAGCAAACTAGGAAAACTAAGATATAATTAATTTCACTTCCTTTCATCCACCCCGCTTATATGAACAAATGAACTTTGGAAGGGCTTCCAGAATGCAAATGGTTAAAGATCAGACATTTCTTTTGACATATATTATGTTTTCCTTTGCCATAGCAAGTTGAACACAAAGGACGGTATATCCTTGTATTTTCTTCTAGACTTTCGAAGAGGACTGCTTCAGATATTGGCATGGGTATAGGCTTAAGATTTTTTTTTAGCAAAAATTTTTATAAGACATGTTTCATCCAAATCAGCTGAGATATCTGGAGGGGTAGAGTAAAAGTTTTAATTGTTATGTGAAGAATATTTCAGAAAAAGGTATGAAGTGTAAGTGATATTAAATGGACAATTATGACTGTTTCTAGGGCATCTTTCAGTTCTGTCACATATTTTTGAACAGGAGAAAATAGTAAAAATATCACCATCAGATTTTTATTTATTTATTTATTTTGCAGAATAGTACATAATTTCTCCAGCTTCATTCTAGCCATTACTGTGTGAAAATTCATGGTCATTTTGAATTCCTTCCCTTATTTCAGATGTATTGACTAATGTTTAAGAACCTTGAAGAATGTTAGGGAACATTTGGAACGTGCTTGTATTTTTGCTATTTGTGGTAATATTTTTAGAAGGAATTAAAAAGTTTTCTTTGCTAAGTTATCAACACATTGGGGTTTTTTTTCCACAATCTTTAAAAATAGTGAAAACATCATAAAAGAGAAGGAAAACTGAATCTCTGTATTCAGGCTCTAAACTGATCAGCAGTAATATCTATTTATCAAAGGTACAGTTTCTGTTCTGTTCCTTTCTAAAAATCAGACTTCTCCAACCTTAGAAATGCTTCTCTAATGGCAGTGACTGCATTTTTATATTTAGTTTAGCATATAACTGTTTTACTTGCACATTTGAATGTGTGTATATTAAAATGCTTCATAAGTAGCCTTACCCATTTACTTGAATATGTTCATTTTAAATTGTTTTGCTTTCTAAAAATCTACTTATACTTACTCATATTAGTTTCTAAGCTAAATAAAAATGAGATTGAAATTTTTAGTGTCACCCTGACTTTGCTTCCAGACATAGGAGACCAGAAGAGTAGTATAATAAAGATGAATCAATTTGCTCAGCTAAAGAATACAAAAGAGTAATGTGACTACCATAATATCTGCTTACATTTTTCATACTCTAGCTTGAATGACTAAGTGCAGACCTACGTTGGGCTGACTGACTAGCATTTGCCATGGGTAATGAAACCCTCGATCATTATCTTAAATTGCAATACCACCACCATGATCTTTTGGATATGTCATTCATCTGTGGCTGTAAACCATAAAATGTTGTTAGTACAGGTTAAAAAATCACGATTGGTTAGATAAGAATGACCTGATAACTGTTTTTTTTAAATTCTGGTATTTTTGCAAATATTACATATTTCTAGAGAATATAATCCATCTAAGGCTTTTACCTATTATTTCTAATCTAAACCAGACTGTATATACTCTCATCTGTATATATTTAGATGGATGCCATTCTATGCTTTTTTTTTTAATATTTAAAGGAGATAATTATAAGAGTGAATTCTGCTGCTTCAAAGCATTTTTTAATGTAATTATTCTTCTTTATTTAAAAATATAATGACAAACCTGTTTCTCTGAAAAAAACCCTCAGAGAGTAAATTAAAAACTATGTGCGCTTTTACTGGAAATTTTGAGGCAGAGCCATTCTCCTGAATTAGTATCTTTTGTTGCTCCAAATCAAATTACTTTGACTTGTCTGTGAGAACATGGTGATGCCACCTCACCAGTGACAAATCTGGGAGGGATGCTTTGGGCTTCATCTTCTCTGTCCAGGTCTCTGATAAAGTAATAACCGAATTGTCCTCTGCCAAGATCTCTTATAGAATTCAAGCTATGATAGCTATACTGTCACGTTCTTTCACTCCAGTAACTTCTAGGTTACTTTTGAACAAAGCAAGATACTTAACTGCATCTGTGGTTTTAGCAGACATCAAGCCTTCATCTGCATTCTGTGTACTATAATTCTATAACTAAGATTCCTCCTAATGGTTGGTGCTGGTTTTGCACCTGAACTTCATTTCGATTGAGGTACTGTCACCTAAGTGCATGTAGATAAAAATGACCTGAAATCATAATTTTGTTCATATATCTTTCAGCCCCTTAATTTTGTCTTTCTCCTTCAAAATAATTCAGTGTTTTTAGTAATCTTGCTACCAATCATTTAGATAACAGTTACGCTGACCATTAGTTATCGTTACATTTTGATCAACAACATTTGATCATGACATAGCTGTTCCTGAATATATTGCCATAGAGACCACACTTGAAGTACTGTTTGAGGAACATATTCCAGCAATTTCACTAGGTATATATTAATTGAAGTATGTATCTGCATGTTGAAATAAAATACATTCTATGATGTGCCATTACTAAACTAATCTGTTATTTCAATTTCAGTATGTGAGACAGAAGCAGCAAAAGTTTATCAGCTATCACTAGAAGAGCACCTACAGCCTTTCAAAGACAGCATGGAGCAATTCATTAGTCAAGGTAAATAATGAAACGTCACTTAACCTTTTCATGACATTTCAAAGACAAGTTATGGGAACAATGTTTATACATTGTGGGAAGGAGACTGTTTATTTTGGCATCATAGAAAGATGTGGATTAGTTTAATCAGATGCCACACAGTTCTAAAAGATTTACAAAATGATTCTGTTGTAATGTAGGTGACTCATTTTCTTTTGCATGACAGCAAAGACAAATGCTATTGGCTCAAGTATGTGATCTGATAAGTTTAGCATTCCAGTAGAAAACAATTTTACAACCTTTGTTCCTTGAAAAATTATTGAAGCTGGATCTGTGTCATTAATTTCTTTCCAAAGAGATAATTCCTTTAGACGTGCCAAAAGCATGCAGTAAGTTCAGCAGAAGTAGTTAGTTTTTTCCATATATAAGGCAAATCCATATGAAATACTTGGATGTGATTAATGGAAAATGCAAAAAAAGATTTAAGTATCCATGATGAACTGGCATCCTGAATGGTAGAAGGAATAAAAAAACACAACAACAAAAAAACACTTTAAAAATGAATAGACAATATTTTACTAGACTCTTCTTTTGAAAGACGGTAGGAAAAAAAGTATGGATAAATTTAATTTTCGACTAGCAGCATGTCACAGTGTCTCTTGAAATACTGCACTGAAAGAGTATATTGTGTTGACCAATTTCTGATGCAATTTGGAGTTGAATGCATTAGATCGGCAGTGGCCTGATAAGCAAATCAATGGCATTTTAGCTTTCTTGGTCACGTTACTGCTCCTTCTGCTTTGATGATATTTTTTATAATAGAAGATGTCTGTTACCTCCTGATCCTGATTTATGTGAAAAGTGAGTTTCTACTGATTACTAAACATAGTTCTCAGTAACACATTTGCCTAAATGTAAGAGAGAAATCATTATTAACTGTTTGTGCATGATGTTTGACAGATCAGGAAGGTATGCATTTATTTATTCTTAATTAGAATACCCAAGGTGATCATCTATCCAAACATGTAAAAAAGGAAATTGTACAAATTTCAGTATGTACCAATACATGCTACCAGTTTCCTAACTGCTGTGGAAAAAAATCACATTTACGATTTTGTATATGAGCATTGCAAAAACATTGCTTTGAATTATATATGTAAATTGATGCTTCCTGAGTCAAACTATTTGTCAGATCTGGCAAACAGTGCTGTGTCCTGCATGACTAGATATGGAACTGCAAGGGCTTCTCAGAAAGCAATGCCTCCTAATTTTTTCTGTTGGTCCATGAAGTCAAAGGCAGATATCGGAGGTATGGCAGCAGAGGTTGAACTTTCCTATCAATAGTCCATTACGCTTTCTTGCCATGTGACAGATGGCAGCAGGGAGGCAGTCTGACAAAATGGCATTTGATGTGGAAGTGTGTATCAAGCACTGGTGTGTCACTGAATTCCTCCATGCAGAAACAGTTGCACCCATTGACGTTCATTGACGTTTGCTGAACAATAATGGAGACCAAACAGTGGATGTGAGCACAGTGAAATGATGGGTGGTGAATTTCAGCAGTGGTAGCAGTGACAGTGGATCATCTATGTTGGTACAGTTTAAAAATAAAAATAAAAAATGCAGCATTCAGGCTCTTGTTCATTGCTGGCAAAAATGCCTAGCTGCTGGTGATGACTGCTGAAAAATAGTGTTTTGCAGCTGAGTATTTACTCCAACCAATAGTGTTATTGAGCTTTTTGTATCTGTTTTGGTTTCCATGGAAATAGCAAACATTACCTTTGGAGCAACCTACATATGTTAAAACTGTATTCTCATTGCACAGTTAGTATGCAACTGGTGACATAGACACGTACCACATATTTTATGTTAGGTTTATATTATTACTGATATATGTAGATAGGGAGCTATCAAATCACGAGCTACCCTTAAACAGATCATTAATGATACCCTGTAAATCATGCAACATACTTGTCTATTAATAAAAAAAAAAGCAAGTCAAATATCAGGCTTATATTATGTCACTATGACTTAGAGAGGGTAATGATATAGAGTAAAAGCTGTACTGACTTTTCTATTTTATGAGGGACGTGAGAAAAAACATACAGCTGTGCATCTTATCCATGAAGAACTTTGTTGTGTTATTAGTGGATCTTACTAGAGCATTGATAAGCGGAAATCCATAATGTGAGTAAAAAAATATTATGATCACTTTTTAATTGAAATAATTGGAAACATGCATTGTGAACACAATGAATTGTGACTAAAAAATTTCTACGCTGTTGAAAATTTTGAGGACTATTTTTTAGTATTCAATTGCAATGTAAGAAAGACAAAGCCTAACATATAGGAAAAAAGAATATCTGGTTAAGTTCCAAAAAAAAAAAAAAAAGTTATTCTAAATACCTTTCATTATGAAATCCTTTGTTTTTACTTCATGGGATTGAATTCAGACTTGAAAGAGGCCATGTTTAAAGCAGGATTTCTCTTTCCTGTTCAGTGTTTGACAGGCTTTTGATCTAGATATTTTTTCTAAGGGCTTTTGTTGTTTATGTAGACATAATCGATGAGTCTTTTCAGCTAGACTGCACACATGATCATTTAGAAAAACAGAGGGACAATTCTTGGCACCTTTTAGGGATTTGTGTTTATATAACATATGCTCTGGGCAAAAAAAAAAAAAGCTAAGCTTTAAGTTTTATCTTTTCAAGTTCCAGTTTCTCTAAAGTCAGAAAAAGTTTTAACATATAATTCAGATGAAAAACTTTTTTCATAAGGATGAATAATTTGGCATGTTTATATGATGTCTTTTCTGAGTAGATAACTTGTGTACATAATGGGACCCAAAAGTTCAAAGTAGCTAGTTATTCACTTAAACTTGTTGCTAAACTTGCAGTTAAAATGGAAAATGAGTTTCTTGTAGGCAGAAATGCTTGGACATCTAATTAAATATTCCTGGCAAGGAGATAAGCAGAATAGTTACTGTATGGCACAGTTATGTAACTTTAAGTTACTGTAACTGGTCTAGCTGATTGCTGCTATTGATGTATTAATAAAAAACAAAATTGTTAACACTTTGATTAGAGTCATTAGAGGCAAAAATGATTGTTCTTCTAGCTGACTAGTGGAATTTATTCTTTCAAAGGATAAAGAAGGGAAAGAAGTAAGGTATGTGTTCAGAGTCATAATGTTTTAGACCAAAATGTTAGTGGCATGTATAGCTGAGGCTGCCTAGCATTTACCTTGGTATCCTAGGCGGCAGTCTAAAGTGTCAGTGTATTCATCAAAATAAGCAAAGTAGTCAATCTATTTAGCAGAAAATCAAAATATCTGTTCCATCTCCATACACGCAGTTTCTGAGGGTCTGTGTGTGTCAGATCCTCCAAGGCAAACCTCTCTGTTCTTCCATGTTTTCTATCCTCTTTTTGGAACCACATGTAGTAAGTTATCAGTCAAAAAATTTGTTGTTCTCAAATTCAAATATCAATCATTTCTGCTGAGATTCTCCGTAGTCACACTGCTTTAAAAACAACAACAAAAACCCACTTGCAAACAGGAAATTGAAAAGAAAAATGTGTAATATTGTAAAGAACTTTACAAAAGTATTTTTTCTTCATTACTTATTTCTAACTGTTTACTTAAAGTTTATACTAGTATGTGGGAGATAGTCCTTTTTAAGTGAAACATTATTCAGACCAAATTGTGTGAAATTAAAAAGTACTGTTTGTGTCTCCTCAGTATAGGAGTGCAAACTCCTCTGAAGGTTTCTTTCCACAAGTCAGTCCACACAAGTTACTGCGGTTTGTAGAACAGAGATCACAAAGGAAAACACTATTTGAAAATGCAATTGCTTTTGGATCAGTACTTTTCTGTGGGAACACACAAACATCTGAGATCACAGCCACATCCCCCAGTTCAGAAAGGTTCAGAAATCACTTTTTTTTCTGGGGTAAACCTTCTCAGAATACACAGGAGACAGTGAGAGAAAGACTGGAGGGTGTTAATCAGCCTGCAAGTTAGAGGGTAAATTCATTAGACTTTAGTAATCCTTTAACACTTTTGACAGGATAGCCAGCTCATGTTTAAAAAAATAATAATAATTTTTAAAAAAATATTGTACATGAATGAGCCATAAATGAATTCTAATCACCAAGTTTTAACTGTGGTTAACTTTGCAGTGAGAAGCAGTCTGGATGTTTGCTTTTAGGACTCCAGCTAGGCTGTACATTCTTGTCAGCCTGATAAGGCAGGAAGCGTCTGATAGGAGGCAGCAGCCTCTGCTCCCTCAGAAAAGTCAGTCTGGTTTGGTACCTGAGAAGAGGCAGTATATTCAAATCACAGATTTTCAACTAAGATTCTATAAATTGTGCAAATATTTTAGTCTTGAAATCTGAGGAAGGGATCCATTATTGTTCTAGTTACTGAATAAGATGTCATTTATTTTAGATTTTTTTTTAAGTATTATGTTATAGGATATTTTAAGAATAGAATGCAATGCATATAAAAGAAATAAAAATGATTTTCAGATGATTAGCTAGTTAGTCTAAAACCAGGAATAATTCCAGAGTGGTGGTATGTTTGGGTGAACAAGCTGACCATTCAGCCTTCGGCTCCTTCTAGTCTTGACAAAAATTCTTACAGTTATTAGCAAGTGACAGTCCCAGATTTCATCCTGCTGGACTATAGACTCTTCTCCAGGCCCCAGTTTTATCCACATCCTTGTGACCTTGCAGAGTAAAGATGCTAAAATTGTGCTCTTGATTGAACTGTCTGTAACCATCTCTTTTTGCCAGGAATCCAGTTTCCAAACGTTTAGTAAATGAATGTATAAATCACAAAGTGTGTTGTATTTATCTCTATAACTGCAACCAGCTAGTTGGGAATAACTTTCTCTTTTAGGTCAAGCAGCAAAAGCTGTACATCATCAGATGATGTATTGTGAAAGACTAAATCATCAGACTGAATTTTGGATGGCTGGGTTCAGTTTCTGGCTCCAGAAGACTATGAAATGAATGCTGTTA